AATATCACAGAAATAATAGATAATAAAAAAATATTCTTTGCCACATTCGTTATTCTCAAACTAACTTTAAAATGAATTGCCTCATTTTACGCGCCGAGACTCAAAATTAGTAAGAAGTTAAAAAGCTTGAAGAGAAAAGATTCGTCATTTCCAGGTACCTATGCTAGAGAGCTAGCGAGATGAAGCCTTCGCCCGCTATCTCTTACCTTAGAACAGTGCAGGGGAACATGCTCCACGGTAAGATCTGTGTCGCAGCTATCGCAAGTAGGGGTGGGTGCCAGCAGAGATGTCTGTGGGAGAAATCACAGTGACCGATCCGAAGGTGTGTCAGAATTATCTCCTCTCGTCTTGACCCACGCGATGAAGAAAAGCACGGCTTTACGGAATCCTTGATTCTTGTGAGTATAAAGTCTTGAGTTCTGCCACTCTGTTTGGCATGAACTGAGAATACGTTTGATAAACAGCTTGGTATCGTTTGGTGGGACTGAGGATGTCTACCTCATTCAAGGAGGCATTCAATGCGACTCGTGTGGTAGGCGCCTATGCAGATCCGTACACCGGCATTGCGTATGGTATTCAGTGACCGGAGGATCAATGGAGACGCTGAACAATAAACAATACACACATAATATAAAATATGACGATGAAGGTCCTATATAGATGCAATAGACATACATGGTCTGCGCCCCATAATCTACCAGTAAGGTTGCGAAGGAGGGTCAATGGTGATTCACGGCGTTTCTTCAAGTTTTGAATGTGCATTTACCATGTTAAGCTCTTGACGTATGTCAAGCAACGGAAAGTGGCAGATTCAACGAAAGGAAATTGATGCCCCCCCCCCAAAAAAAAGATCAGGATGATTATGGAGGTGATGTATTCTACAGAAGTGCAATGCAACTGGATTTTGAGGTGGAGAACTTGAATCCAGTTTTATCGCTCCGTTCTTGCAGTTTGTAGAGGACAAGCTGTAACTGCCTCTCAATAACTTGCATGCTCTTCGAGGAGAATATAGCAAGATCAACGAAGAGCGACGCTTTCACAGGCTCTCGAATAACTGATGGGAGACTATTGATAGTAATGGGAAACAGTGACACTCAGAATTGAACCCTCGAGAACAGTTTTCTAACTCGTCACTTGAGGTTAACGTTTCACCAAGGCGGACGCGGAAACATCTCGACGAAAGACAATCTACTAGAAACGAAGAGAGCCGTCCCCTAAGGCCCCAAGAAAGCAAGGTGCGAAGAATGTCGTACCTCCAGGTGGTGTTATACGCTTTCTCTCTGTCGAAACAAATTGCTACCAGATGTCGTTAAACAAAAGAAGTGGAGAACTGGGTGGCAAGGGAGACTAAGTGGGCCATGGTTGACCTGTGCTAACTTAAACCATACTGAAAAGGTGTAAATAGATTCCTTTGCTCTAAGGAGCCAGACCAGACGGTTGTTTACCATTCATTCTAAAAGCTTGCACACACAGCTTGTGAGCGACATTGGGCGGTAACTTGAAGAGATTGTTCTGTCCTTTCCTTCTTTAGGGATTGGAATAACAATGGCTTCGTGCCAAATCCTTGGTAAAGAATGTTCATCCCAATTCAAGTGGAAAATGCGGAGGACAAAATAAAGATCATTTTCTGGTAGGTGTTTAAGCATTTGATTATGTATCTGGTCTGGTCCTGAAGCAGAAACCTTTGCATAATCGAGGACACAGGAAAATGCAACCATAGAAAAATGAGCATTGTAACCTTCCATCACGCGACAAGAGAAATCTAGCCTGCAGTTCTCCATTCTTTTGGCCTTCAGAAAGCTAGAAGAGTAGTGTATGGAACTGGAGATATGCTCGTAGTGAGAAACCAATTCAACTTTATGGTAAACTAAGGTTTCCATTTACGAGAAGCCATAAGATAGACGATCGGGAAGTCTTTCACCGATCTGTCGAACCATTTGCCACACTACTTTAGCGGGCGTACGGCAAAAGAGTAATGAAATATAAGGTCTCCAGGCCGCGGCCTTATTTTCTCGTATGGTCAATCTAGCTCTGGCTCGTGTTCTTTTATAATTGATCAGCTTATCCATGGTTGGGAACCTAAGCTTTGCATAGCCCGTTTCCGATCACACCCCGCGATAGCACAGTCGGCATTCCACCATGACACGGGAGGATATTGTGGGTGACTTCGGGATGGTAATTGAGGTCGCATTAAGAACAGCATCAGTAACATGGACAACCATAGCATAGCATTGAAATTGTTTGGGCAGTTTTCCGTTATCCGTATTGTTTTCTCGAATGTTTCCTACTCTGTTCGGTGGATTAGTCAGCGAGAAGGACCGGCAACGTTTGGGTCGGGAATATCAAAATGGACCAGAATGGGGAAGTGGTCTCTGCCATGCAGGTCGCCAAGGACACGCCTCCACCCAAAGATGGAGAGATGGACAGCAGAGAGCCAGATCGACGGACGTGAAAGTGTTTGAAGCCCAGAAAATGTGTGCTTTCGCCAGTGTTCAGAAAAAATAAGTTCTGGTTATCAATAATATTTTGAAGTATATTGCCTCTCGAGCAGGTTCTAGTGCCACTTCAGGCGGGATTGGGAGCATTAGTCATCCACAATAAGAAAAGGGGCGGGCAGCTGAGAAAACACATCTTTAATTTCTTATTGTGACACGATTTGCCCAGGAGGAATGTATATATTGCACACCGTTAGAGAAAAAGGAGGGGAAGTGTATCCAAACGCATACAGGTTGAAAGTCGGTTCGAACGTTTTGTTTCTCAGAGAACACTGAGTCACTGATAAGTACCGCGACACCACTGTGAACACGGAGCCCGTCATCTTGATCAAAGCGACAGATGTTAAACCCAGGAAGACAGAGGGGACGATGGGGAAGAAAAGTTTTCTGAAGGCAGACTATAGAAGGTCTATGGCGAGAAATTATCATTTTGAATTCTTCTGAATGTGCACGAAAGCCGTTTAGATTCCACGAGGGTCATTGTAGGGAAAAACGCCGGTTTTTTTTTCTTTCTCGCATTCTGAAAAGTTGTAAAGGAACCCTCGTGGTGCTCCTCGTCACAGCAGTCATCCTGACTGCTGCTGGAAATGGTCGCCTGTGTTGGGGCGATTTCCCGTTTTTTTGCCACACGCGACAGAGACCTACATGGGTTTGAGGATCGCTCAATGCGAGTGTCGGAAGTAGTCCCGGAGAAAGGTAGGGCATTGATTGTAGCTGGCTGGATGGTCACGTTCACAATTGACACAGTGCGGTGGTGTAGCGCACGGATGTGGATCGTGCTGGGCTTACCGACATACATCGTTGAAATAGGGATCACTTTCCCCGGCTCTTTCCTTTTATTCCTATATATTACAGTCACGCCCTTACTCTTAAAAAATAAAATTAGTTCATTTTCGGACGCAAAGTCGACGTGGTTCACTACGCCTTCGCACAGGTTCAAAGTTCGGTGCGTCGTTACTACCACCTGGAGTTCGACAATCTGCTTGGTTTTTAATAATTTCCTTCTTTCCTCGTCGATACGTGCTCCAAAGATAATCGTTCCATTCCTGTCGCACGACCGCTTGGAGCTTCCCGTATGATTCCTCTATGGCTCGCGCCAGACAGGCAGCACTTACATTTTTAAACTTTTTCCTTTCTCGGCGTATGTCATGAGGAAACGAGACTTTTTCGGTCATCTTTTGCAAAAGAACTATTTAAATCAATAGTTCGTTCCGCATATATCCTCTTCCTTGCGGAGGAGGGCGGAGAGAAGGTTTAATATACGTGGAGATGGAGGTAAGATTTATCCCCATGGTCCTCACCCACCACGGAACCCAACAAGAAGACACTCCATCGGAGGGTCAGGGCTGCCACGGAGCTATAGTGGGGGGATGTCACAGCGCTACCCCGCTGTAAATCCGCCCGTTCACCCAGGAGTTCTGTACAAGATCTGGTCCGAGCCGATTGATCGGGAGTGGGTTAGCTCTCCGCTGCCCGTCTAGAAGAGCCCCACGCCAAAGCGAGTGTATTGAAACCTACAAGAAATGTTCCCCAAAATACGTAAACATTGTATCCCTAGGTGCAAAGCAGATCGTAACACAAGGAAAGTAGTTGGGGAAAAACAGGCCCCTCAACTTTCAGGACACACATTCCCTCCAACACGGGTCGTCATTCACGACAATTCGTCGGTCGTTGTTCACGGACATTCAGCATACGGGGGGGGGGAGCAGTGAAATAGAAGGGGGAGGATGTTATCAAATAACGAGAATGAACGATTGGGGAAGATAAAAGATGACTGCTGAGAGAAAGGAATATAAAAGATGACTGCTGAAAGAAAGGAATTCTTGAGAGCTCTCCGGGCATCCTCCCTTCAGGACGTGGACCGACCTACCTCGACGGACCCCTTCTCGATGGAGTCCAACAAGGAGACACACCACTGGGGTGCCAGACTTGACACAGGGTGAGACATAGTGGAAGGATGTCAGCACAGTCCCAGTGTAGATCCCCCCGCTCAGTATGGAGTTCAGTACAAGACCTAGTCCGAGCAGATTGATCGGGAGCGGATTAGCTCCCGACTGTCTGTCTAAAAGACGCAGAGGCCAAAGAGTGTTGAGGTTTACAAGGTGCAGAGATTTCCCCTTATTCACCAGGGCTCACCGGTGTTCGCACACCGAACGTGGCTTGAGCGGGTCCAGAACGTGAACCAGACCACCGAACGTGGCCTGAGTCCAGTGTCAAGGCGACAGTAGGAACGCATATACAGACCCCCTTAACTTCAGGTCACCCATTTCCTTCGACACGGGTCGCCATGCACGGCAAAAACATGGGTGGGCATTCAGAGAAGGCCAGTGAGAAAGAAATAAGGGGGTGATGAAAGAATGTAGGAGGCGTGAAAAGCAAAAGAATGAAAGATGGGGAAAGGAACACATTACAGCCATCTCTAAATCCCCCCGCCAGTATGTGGGTCGACCCACCTTGAAGGGGTCAATAAAATTAAATAATGATAATGGAATAAAACATTTCATTATTTCCAAATACAATATATTATATTGCAAAATGTCAGATTCAGATTAAACCAAAGTATTGTATTTTGAAATGAAAAATTTTGGAAATACAAATGTCCAAATAACATTAACATTAAAACAAATATTTATGCATGCCTTTTATATGAACAGCGCACATTATGCAGAAACATTTACCATCACAGAATTTATGTATAAAAGTAAATAAAAACCAGCATGAAAATTTATTTTCAAACTATCAACATTGATTAAAATATCACATGATACAATATATAGATCTAGAACTAGACATCTAGATTTGAATTCTAGAACTAGATTCAGGATCTACGGACTCAAAAATATCTGAACTGAATGGAATAAAATCTTGCTATGTGAATTGTTGCCATTTTATGACATTCTGACAACTATAGAACAATTTACAAATGCTGCAAAGCATTGAATATTTAACAAATGTTTTATATTGTGAGCTGGCTGATGAAGAAAGATTAATTTACTTATTCTCATATATACGTTTTCAATCAGTTAAGATACCTGCTTCTTTTTATTAAACAATTGTCCTGTTTTTCGTACTTTTGACACTATAGATACCCTTCTGTTTGCAAATCACACATAAGAGATCATAATAATTAGATCATCAGGGTAACAATCATCTTTACAGAACATACACTTTTCAAGTTGTTATGAACTGTTGGGTAAACTTTGTTGTATTGTAGAATGAGATATAAATTATGTTTTAAGACACGGTAACTCTTCTTCCCTTATATCCCTCCTTCCTTACTTCTATGATTCTCAATTTATAATCAGGTCCCCAGAACATACATGTTCCTCAGTTGAAGACCAACTGTACAGTTAAAATGCATAATCATAATTTACAAGTAATGATCACAAAATAAGTCCAGCACAATCAGAAGTATTGCACTGTGGAATTTACAATCCGTTATCTGTTCACACGTTACACTTTGTACAGTCTATTAACAAACAATTACTTAACATTCACACTATGTGTTCAGCAAACCTACTTACAAAATAATTTTGTGTTATGTACAGAATTTAATGTACAAATCAACTCTCTTAGTTTCAAATCTCACAACAAAACCCAAACACAGCCTAGTATGGATAATATATTTCAGAAAATACACAAAAAATTTGTCTCTCCTTTGGTGTTGATGTCTTTTTCACTGAAATTTGCTGTCAAACAAACATCAATTTTTCTAGGTCAGAGACCAAAATCTGATAGGTAGGGGAGCTGGCACTTCATTATTCACAGAAAGGTCATGATCTGGCATTATCATCCTCCTCATTCATTATGCTCATTGCATCCAGCATATGAAGTGCTAGTTGATATTCATTGTTCCCTTCAGGAAGGTACTGCAATACCAAAGCCAACAACTGAGTAGTATCCTCTGATGACCACAGGAAACATGGAGATACACCTTCGTTCTAAAACAGATGAAGAAGTACTTTTCATTTCTCTCGGTTCTTAGACGATAAAATAGGCTATTTTTAAATGCAAGCAAATTTCTCTTCAAAATATCCCAGCACAAAACAATGATATTCTTGCATTACCCTCTCTTAACAAGGAGTTCATGAGCTCTGGTATATACACCCCCAGCAGATAAAAGGGTCATAGAGGACATGTGAACAATTTCCATGGGAAGATCCAAACAAAAAGTTAACCATGACATGTGGTTCTTGAGTTTGGGTATATTAAAAAAACAACAACAACAATATCCACACCCACTTTACATTGGCGATGTTTTGGCCATCTATTCGGCCTTCATTGGGACTACAGAACACATGGCACACACTGCATTCATGTTTTTTTATACTGATTTCTTTGCCCTGCAGAACAAATGTTTCTTTTGTTTTGCTTCTTGGCAATTTACATTTTCTCCCCTCCTTTCACATTACTACAGTTGTTTTGTTTTCTTTATACAATAAAAAACATATACTTGGTTAGTTTGATTGTATGTTATCTCACTCAGACTTTCAAGATCATTTCCTATTTATTTTATTAAGTACCAAGATTAATCAAATAGTATACATGAAAAATTACGTACACAATGAATTTGGAAATTGAAACTTAAGAAAAGCAAATACCGTGAGCCTTAACCAAACATTTTGAACCATCAACATTTGTGCATGAACTCTGCTTATTCTTCATTTACGATATCAGTTTGCATCATGTTTGAATATATCACTCAACTTCCTCAGGTAAATATTTTGTAAAAGTACATTCTCTCCTGAAATCTGGCATTAAATTCAGGGGAATTGAACTATATGTCAGCTAGCTCAGTGTAAACATTTTGTACAAGTACATTTCCTCCTGAGATATGGCATAAAATTCAGAGGAACACACCCTTTTTGATTACAGAAAAAAATTGTATGAATAATAAGCAAGAGCTATTCAGGTGATTCCTACAATCCTATCTTCATTGAGCTTAAAATTTCTCTTTATTGCTTTAATAATTCATGTAAGTATGAGTGGTTTCAAAAAACTTGAAAAAGTAAGAGTGGTTATCTACTTTCTGGCACTACACATATCTATAATTACAGTAGTACCCCAGTAATTCCAACTAAAACGGGGTGTGGTCTTTTCGGATTATTTCGAAAAATGTACCGTACAAATAGAAATAGATATATAAGATTACCAGCCAATGCAACGTAGCGTGCAATGTAAGAAAATGGCAATGTAGCAGAGTGATCGCGTCGTGAAGCTGATTCAGTTCCATACGGAAGAAGATTTTCCAAATTCCTCTAATTGAAAACTATTGCTACATAAACACCTAATTAATACATTGTGGTAACCAGTGCAATAAACGTTTCATTATGAAAACTTGTGTTTTAATAATGAGTTGTTCAGTTGTACAGTAATTATAAAATCTTTTCTTTACGGGGTTCCGGTTCACGAGGTTCTACTGTATAACATTTTACGTAGAAATCATATTTGGTAACAGTATCAACGGCTTACTGTAAGAAGTCCACGTTATTTTACAGGTTCCCTGGGTAACAAAAAAATACAATTAATATACAAGTTCAAATGACAAGAAAGAACTTTTCTCCTGCACAATTGGAGTCTCTTTTCAGTATCAAAACAAAACAACAACAAAAATTGATTTAATAATAATACAAATGTATTAATACATTTATTTTTACTGATATGTTATTGCCTTCGATATAGAGCTTGATATACACTGTACTCGTATAACTTATCTGGATAGATCATGTTTTGAAGGTAATATGAAAGGTATATTTCAACGCTTGTTTATTAGAACCCTTATAACATCCTTGGTGCATCAATAACTATTTTACTGTATGATTCTAAGAGACTGAATTGCTGTAATCATGTTCTGAGTCAGTGACCACCTCTATCAGGTATAGCTCCCGCGCGTCCCAGTTTTCGACCGCGGAGAGGGTCCTAGTTTCCGCGCGGGGTGAGCGCAGCAGGGAGGAGGGGATGGCTTTCCGCTGCACCCACAATTCACGTGACATAATCGCAGACCGTTAGCAAGAACAATCGGAGCGGCTAGTTTCGCTTGTGGCTAGGACCCCGAGTGGTTAACAATGTGGCAAAGCCATTATTTCTCATCATGGTAAGAGAGTTACTAATACTACTATACACAGCGAGGGTTGCGAAATCATTGTTCCGTGTGATTGAAAATATGTGATAAGGAGAAAGAAGATAACATTTTTAAATTTACCTTTAATGAAAGCGAGTGAAAGAGCCTCCGATACACAGGAATTCGACTCACCACCATCCAAAGCCATTCGGAAGAAATAAAAAGGGGAATGAGAATAAGCCGCAAATCGGAAGCTGCACAGTCTTCTGGGCACGTGCAATTCTGTCCATGTAGATTAGTTTTTGGACCGGTGTGTCATTAGAAATACGATTCTGGGTTTCTACATGAGAGAAAAGGTGTTCCGACGGTGCTAAAGCTTCTTCCAATTATTAAGGGCCAAAATTAAAATTTCCTTGGGCCCAATATCTTTATTGCGTGTTATGAAATCAATGGGAAAAAAAGTGCCAATCAAAGTCGGCGGGTGCGTGATAAGGAGCACCGGACCATAGTGGATTGGAGATCCAGATTCATTATTCAGTGGAAACAATATCTAGAAAGAAACCGAGATATCATCTATGTGGATGAGACATGGGTATAACACCCTTAAATTCAAAAAGTGCTGGCAGTGTGATAACGTTTGTGTTGTCAAAGTGATGGGAAAGAATGCAAGTAGACTATATAATTGTTTTCATGCAGGGAGAAAATGGATTCTTTGCGGCACCGTGCCTAATCTTATCGCAGCTAAGTTAGTACTGTGGGAGACTACACTGGCAATGAAGTGGGCATTAATTTTGAGAAATGGAATCCTTGACAATGCTCCATACCACATATTGAAGTCAAACAAAACGCCTCCGCATACTCAAGAAAAGCTGACATGATTGTATAGGCTTTCAAAGAAAGGGAGTGCATGTGAAGAAAACTAATGCGTAAGACTGATTTGTACCATACATTAATTGCATCTTTCAAACACGGGGCTAAGCATCGTAAAGATGCGATGAGGTGCGAGCTGCCACACGGACGATTACAGGTTGTATTCGACTTCCTCCTCGGCACTGCTGTGAGCGCATGAACCAATTACATGTGCTGAGACAACATGGTTTGCTTGAGCGAAAAGTAAAGCAGATATTTAAGGGAGCGAAATGTAACAGCGTGATATGTCAGTTACCAAGTTGCAAGAAAACATTGAAACTGCTAATACAAGTAGGTCCCATGCCAGGACTGGCAGGATTTGCAAGCACGTGGAAAAAATACGAAAGTGATTATTGGGAAAAGATACGTATTGTATCGCGACGTCATTGACGAAATAATTAATTTGGACTCCGACCACGCAACATGATTCATCAGAGAGTGAAGCTCCAGATCATCAGATTCTGAATAAGTTAAGTTAGATACTAAAATTAATCATGCAAGAAAAACGTCCGCGATCGTGAAATAAAAAAAATGTCTTTCGGCGCGGCTAGTAGTACGTCGACGCGCCGGATGTTCCTCCCCACCACCGCTCAGTTTCTGGGAAGAGGCCTAGGTCCCTTCCGTCCCGCGGTCGGAGAACTCAGTCCCGGACAGTAATTTGTTCCGTTTCATGTTGTCTTAATTGCTTTACTACTGGACAGTAAATGTGTTTCTCCTTCCCATATGTCAGTTTTCAATGTCAGTTAATTGATAAATTACTATTATGAATACACAAAATTGTGACTAGAACAAACAGTAGAGTATTTTACAGATATCAATTGCCTTTGTATATCTGTTGTGGGGGGGAAGAAAAAAAAGGAAAAAAAAAAGAAAATCACAGAATGAGTGCTAGCACATCTATTCAAAAGAGGAGTTTGAAAATAATTGAAATAAAAAAATCTACATAAAAATTTTCAAAAAGATATAATAAACTAAATTAACATAATATATTATATTAAAAAGTACTGAAATCCTGTAAGGGTTCACTAGTTCATTAGGTCAAATTTGTCTTTTCTTTAAGAGATTCTGTAAAATAGTTGAAAGTGTTGGAACGAAACCTTCAGGACTTATAATCATGATTGTTGGATTTATTATAGTATATTTACATAATGTATTTAATATTTATTTATATCTAATTTAATAATAATGTGAAGTTATTGCACAACATAGTAAAGTTACAAAGAAAAATATATTAAATTTTAAATTTGGATATTTTAGAGAGAAGAAAAAGCATCACGATTGACATATCATGAGAACAAATGCAACATGACAAAGTATATCACTGAAGTCAAACGAATTCAGAACTGTTCATCAAGTAACTGATATTTTGCGAAAACACAAGTGCAGATATGAAATTTAGTGAGCAACATCGCTTCAAAAAAGCTGAAGGTAAATGGAAACGTTCAAATTAATTACTCTTATTTGGACAACTGAAAACAACTCTTCATTAAAAGAAAAAACAACTTACCAAGCTTTTTAGCCAGTGGTATAATGAGGGACTTAGCCGAGAAACCCATTCTCGGAAATTATCAGAATTTTCCAACATGTGTTTGACACGCTGTCCAACTATAACCAACAGTTGTGAAGCAAGAGAAGTACTATCACTCACAGCTGGAACAACCTAGAAGAAAAGACAACACGGTAATACCCCAAGAAATTGTTAAAAACTACAATGAATGAACACAACATGTATCATGTACATACAATCAGTTATATAAATGAACTATATTTAGTAGAAGGGAGTAGGTAGTAAAAATGTATTTGCACATTTCACTGAACTAAATTGTTCACAATTTTTCTCAGCTATTTCAAATTATATTATTTTTTAGGTAAATTTCCTTTCAGATCATCACACCAAAATCAATTTTTTTAATCACATTTTGCACATCTCTATTAGTGACCTATAAATCTCTAATAGTTACAGAACTGTGTTGCAAAATTTTTCTGTTTCAAGATTGAAGGGAATACTAATTATGAATTTACAGCTCATCATGGGAAGAATAACTGGGAACAAGGCCAGAAAGAGATCTTTAGTTAAATATTTAAATGTTTATGAGTATGTTTTATGTTAGTGTGCTGATCCCAGAGTTCATGAAAATAGGCACATGTCTCTCCACAGTAAGTCACCCTCAATTTTAAACATTTTTTTTCTTGTTAAATAAATATCTTGAATTCATTATAAGAAAGTAAACTGTGTAATAAAAAATTGATCTTTGTCAAGCCAACTTTGCAATGTTATAGCAGAGCACAGTTTTCACTCCATAGCAATATAATGAGCCATTCTTCAGGATTAATTAACATAAAGTGCTGCTGAAAATGAATAGTTTAGTGAATTACAAGAAAAATCACTGAATGTTGACATTATATCAAACGAAGTAGATGTTCAAGGGTGATTTTTGAAGGTGAAAGAAATTAGAGATTGTTAGAGAGAAATTTCTGGAGATTGATGAAGTTTAGAGGGTGTCTCAGCTACCATGGTCATTGGTACCTATGTCAATGTAATTAAAACACTGAAATAGATTTGATGATAAAAAAAGCTGCAGATGCAACTAACATACCGAATAAAGGTCTATATTAAAATCAAAGAGGCATTAGAATAATAACAACAACAACAACAATAATAATAATAATAATAAACACCTTAATACTGGCTGTAAAGAGGTCAAGTAACATAAAGAGGAGGGAATAATAAACAGTATTGTCCTTGACGCTCGGATCATATTATATATTCCACTTTCCCACAGAAAGGAAAAGAGGTTTGAGAGTGGACTCGTCGTTGCCGAGCACCTCCCATTCAGAGTTGCCCAGACAATGTCTATGTCAACTGCCAACTTTCTGCATTGTAGGACATGTTCCACAACATGTGTCACAGATGGGGTTCACTTTGAAGGAGGAAACCATGTGAAAAGTATCAATAGCTGATACTAAGACAAGTTAAAATTACTTCCTTGCACCTTGTAGCATGGAATTGGGGGGTACCAGAGATTAACAGAATCTAAATATCAACGTGTGGGGGAGGATAGGATATTATGAAGGAGTGTTATTGGTAGAAATTGTAGTAAACCCCTGGCATGTGTAAGCATGCATCAGCCTGATATTTTCACGAGATATATGAACATTGAAATATCAATGTCATTGTTTAATGTTTCTTGCCTTTCTTTCTGTCATGTGTGTTAGTTATTGACACTCTTGAAGTAAGAAAGATCTCATAAGATTTAATTTACATAATATTATGTACATATATTTTCATTAAAATTATGTTACTACAGAATCAACTCTGCATATATTCTGGAAGCAGAATCCAATGCCGTAGAGAGATGTTCACAAATTATATGTTTATCTTGGTTTCATCAATTTGTATTGTCTCAACAGTTTTTAGTCATGAGAAAGATATTTCAAAATGAGAAAGGCAGAAAGTTTTGTAAATGCATATATTGGAATGATGCATGTAAGCAACACAGTTTCGCATAATAGCAACTAGCACAACCAAATATTTATTTATTTAGTAGTTATTCATTTTATAGTAATTTATTTAAGATGCAAGATGAAAGTTTCAGAAGAAAACATACAGAAAAAATAACAGTATTTGTTACAAGCTTTGCTCTTTTGTCACGTAAAACCGCATGTTCTTGCCACAATCTTCAATCTATTTATACGATTTTGTTTTAATTGTTACATTGGAAGGGGAAGTTTCTATGAAGACAAGTAAAGATACGTGAATCAGGGTTGACACGATATATAGTGTGGTGAGAGATTCCAGCGCAGCCCCGATGTTGCTCCTCCCTCTGACCCTGGAGTCCAGTCAAAATACCTAGTCCGAGCCGATTGAATGAGTGGGTTAATTCCCATCGCCCTTCTGGAAGAGGCAGAGGCCTAAGGTAGTGTATTGGAAGCACGCAGTACATACCTACCCATGTAGTTACCATTTGCTGGGTTTTGCACGAGAAGTCTACTCCAAGGTTCCAGAGTCACGATGGCATACGAGCGAGTATGGCCAGATCCCTTAAACTACAGGTCACCCATTCCCTTCGACATGGGTCGCCATGCACGGCAAACACATGGGTGGGCATTCCGCGTACAGAGAAGGCCAGTAAGGAAGGAAAAAGAGGTGATAAAACATGTCTGTGTCTTGAAATGAAAAGCAATAGAATGTAACAACAAAGGAATATATGAGACCCTTCGCTGTACCCCTCCGTGAGAAAGTGAGTGAAACGAATCCACCTCGACGGCAACATCTCTACTGCATATACTTGCTACAAGGAACAAATGATTTGAAAGAATAATCAATTATCTGGAGACACAATATAAAGACTGCGTCATGGAAACAGCAATGAGGACATACTCGAAAGGGTGTACAATTTGCTCGCTTTGACTACCAATGCTCAATGCTTGATTCATAGGGTTTTAGGACACTTCAATTTCTATGGCCATTTGCGCCTAAGTCAATTTATTATCACAGAAGAGAAGACGGAAATTGTTAAGTACGAGTCGATGCTTTTGTCACTGGACTGATGAAGGTAAAGAATTTGGAGCACAAAAGCCTGGCTGTCAAGGACATTGTAACCATCTATTCCCAAAGTGAAGTTTGAGAAGTGATAGTTCACAGAATCACCTTGACATCACTGTCAAGATCGCAGAGAACGTCTAAATAATTTGCCTTTCACGTATTTTAAACTCTCTAGTGTGCTGCTAGTAACACAGTTATTACTATAAAAAACAAAAATGGTGATAAGATTACATCCAATGTGATATCTGTAGGGGAAAATATCACGCGTACAAACCATGTAATAACCTCACCAACTCGGAAATCAATGTTTTCGCCTTGAGGGCATCACTACAAATGCTGTGGTACTGTGCACATTGAAAAACTGGTAAAGAGGTTGAAAATATATCGCTAATCTACCACAAAATTGCTCGTGAGATCGTCAATCAGACAAGAAAAACGAAAATTACTATGTTTATTTTGAGATAGTACGCACGCACTGTTCCGATCAATATTATTGACACAATGTTGAGGATAGGGAAAACTGGTATTCGATTCTGGGTTTCCCTAGATCCGGGTCCACCAGAATGCTGCACTGCCAGCAAAGTGCAATATACAGCGACCGGAGCGAAGGCAACAACTAGGCAACCCTTCCGAACTGGGAAAGGAGGGGGAGGGGGGGGGCGGGGGGCAAAGACTGCAATATATAGCGCCTCAGTCAAGACCTTTTGGATAGATGAAATAGTTTTTTAAAAGGTAGACACTTGGCAGAGCGCTAAAATTAATGAATTCGGCCTGGTTAATACGAATAATTAGAACGCATAGCACAAGTACATACAGGTCTTGTGTGAGAATTCTTAAATGTTTTTTGGTACGGCAAGTGAAGATATCAATAAGACAAATAAAGATACGTCGGCAAGCTTTGTGAGATGAACCCAAATGTATTAAAAATTACTAGACATGAGACATGTTTGCCCATAGATATAGAACACTGGGACCCCAACGTGCATGCGAGTTTCGGCAAGGGCGGCGCGGTATTCGTCGCATTAACCCTCTGCATATCTCATAGCTCCGCGGCAGTTTTTAAACACCCCCCCCCCCCCACACACACACACACACGTCGTATAGCTCCCCCGCAACGCCTATTGACCCCCCTTAGAAAGATGAGAAGTTAAGTAAACAAAGGGGTAAATTTTTGCAGAAATATTATACTTGACATTTGCTGATGATATAATAATTATCCAAGAAACAGAAGATATCCTTCAAATACTCACGCATTTTCTATGGCAAATAGGGAGATAATATAATTTGAAAACTTCACTTCTAAGGCAAGATGATGACATTCAATGAGAAGTAACCAATTAGAAGCAAAATTGTTTTAAAAAAAACATAACAGAGCAGGTGTCCAACTTTAAATACTTAGGTTGCCACATCACATACAAATACAATGACGGCCTTAATTTTAAAAAAAAATCACAAATTCCAACAGATATATGGCGTAATTAATAAAATATTGAGAATAATAGTATGGAAGAGCACTTCTTCAAATTTTATCAACGGGCAGTTCCGACTTGCATATAGGGAATTGAGACATGAACCGTTAAGGAAAAGTATTAGAGTCAGGACTGGAGAAAATAAACTAAAAAAACACAGACATCAGGAAAGAATTTAACATATTTTCCCTTTGTGATAAAACAGAAAAGTAGAGAACACTGACAAAAGTGTATTGATGGGATGGAAGACAGACGATATATAAAAGCTATTATGTCTTCCGTCGAAGAAGAGATGTGGGAACGCCTGCAAGCCAACTGTCAGAGGCCAGAACAGGAAAAACTGTGAAGTGAGGACAAAAAGTGTGGAGTGAGCGGATTTATAATCCATTCATGTTGTTTTGCAAACGTATTCGTTTTAAGCTTTTAGGTGATAACTAGTTGGCTTTGCCTTTTTTATGAAATATTACGGATTCATGCCATTGAATGGAAATGGATTTTTGTGGCAATACAGTTGAAAAATTTGAGAGGAAAGGTAGTTTTTTGATTGGAAGATGCTTGGTAAGCATTTGATCGTGGATCTGGTTTGGACTCAGCAGGGTCCTTGGCTCGAGCAAGATCACAGGCCTCCGTGATGAAGAGTATTGC